TAAAGTACTCTGTTGCAGGTACTCTGGCAGAAAGGGGGCGCACATAATTGTCTTTAATCTTCAAGAGAGATGGGAGCATTTTGTGACCAAACACCAGTGAGGAAACTGAGGCTCACTAAGATTTAAAACTCTATCCAAGGTAATAGCACTATGAAAGAAAATGAAAGTGAGATTCAGACCAAGGTTTCTGTTCCTGGATGCTGTGTCCCTACTCCTTCAGACTCTAAACCACTGTAAGAATATTGCACATAATTTCTTGTGCCTGCTTTGGGTAATAAGGCCATGTATTGCAATGTACTTATTTGAAAACATATACTTTATACATAGGAGAATACCATTGTTAAACAGACCTTGTGGATTTGGGGAAGAATATCAATTAATTAGACTGCTTAATACTATTGATTGATTTGTAGTACCACAGGAAAGGCATATAGACTCTACTAGAACATTTTAACCTCTCTTTGCTATTCCTTCCAGGATCAACATGGGAAGGCAGCAGAGAGGTGGGGCATTTCTACACCCATAGTAATTTGTAGGAGATGTGTAAAGTGTCCTTTTTGAACTATAAGTCATCTTTTAGATAAGATCAAATTGAATTTGTATTTCCTCTAACACAGATTGGAATCAGTGATGTGTTTCCCTCTTCTGTGCAGAGAGAAGGAAGAAAATCCTCTTAGCAAATCTCCTTGACTTTTCCAAGGTATTTGGCCTCTCTTTGTAAAAAGCAACAGGATGTTAAAGCCCCGAGTTTAGGCCACAAGGTTTAAAATAATGTATGCTTGGGGTCTAACATTACAATGGATTTTGATGAGGAAAAATATTCAATTTCTGCATAGGGTGACTTGTTCAATCATTTGGCCACTGCTTACTCCATAAGAGGGTCTTTAACAGAGTGTAAGAGTGAGAATCGGAATCAAGACAGATTTTGTAGGGAGCAGGTGTGTGTGAGGAAAGGCTGTGAGATGTGAGTGTGGGTTTGACGACTCACCCAGGAGCCAGCCTGGCTAAAGTGGGTTGACGGGTGAGGCAGGAGCCAGAGTTGCGACCACTGCAAGATTTTGACTGTGACCTGTGGGCAGATGGGTAGACAGTGGAGGGAGGCTTTCAAATAAAAATACTAATTTAATTTCAACACTGGTTTGGGGGACAGAATTAACCAGAAGCTGGAAGAAGAAGAAGAAGAAGAAGAAGAAGAAGAAGAAGAAGAAGAAGA